AAGCACTAACATTTAGGCAGCACAACGCGGGTATTCTTTTGATTGGCACATACCATCAGTCCGTGGGCAAACAAAAACATGTTTCCCAGTGCGACCCTACCTAGGAGGTGGAGCCTCGAGGAAAACAACATGAGTAGGAGCGGTATGCTATGCTGTGCTGTGCTATGCTATGCTGGGCTATGATGTGCTATGCTACGCTATGCGATGCGATGCTATGCTTTTGCTTTGCCTTCACTTGTGCCTTTGCTCTTGTGCCTTTGCTCTTGCTATGCTGTGCTGCGCTATGTTATGCCATGCTATGCTATGGTATGCTATGCTATGATGCGCTATGCTATGCTGCGCTATGCTATGCTATGCTATGCTATGCTATGCTATGCTATGTTATGCTTTTGCTTTGCCATCGCTGTTGCCTTCACGTTTGCCTTTGCTTTTGCTTTTGCTGAGCATCCAGGGAACGCAACCGGGGGAACCGCCCGGGGCAGTTTACACTGCCCGGCCCTTTTAGCAAACAGAGTAAGGACCCTTCTAGGCAGAACCTAGGTAGGGAATGATGAACTAGCAAAACCAATATCCCAATGGAGTGGGTGGAACGGATATGCGATAAACACAGCAGAATTACGACAGTTATATGGTGCTCATATTGCAACTCAGATTTTGGATTGACCCGGGGACCGACGGGACAGATCGATAAAACGAAGAGCAGAGCGATATGAGGATGCCAGCCCCAGGCAGAGATCAGCAACGGCAAATGTATTCGTGCGACATGTCTGAGCACACATTTGCGGATACAGAACATTCGTGGACGAGCTAGGAAGCACGTACTTCGGCGAAATGGGACAATCAAGAACCGACCATCTCATGATTCCCGACGGAGCTTATGAGGCGGTTGTGGTATGCAGAACTCCCATTATTTGGACGAAGATTACAACCATCTCGCGGCCGAGAACAAAAGTATCACATACCAGCGGCGTTGGTCCTCAATCGCGACATTGACTCTCGAGAACAGAGATGGCCGCAGAGAGTGGGCAAGGACGAGCTGATGATCTGCTTACGAGAATGGCACAAACGAGAACAGTTAAGTATGCAGATTGAGTCCAACCAGAGGGCCCTCGCGGTAGAGAGGCTGCAAGGAGCGAAGGGAATTTGTACGCCAGACGACACGTGGGATCTGTTTAGAAGACCATTGAAAGAGGCGATGGGAAGTGCCATGTTTGTTGGACAGAAAAAGACAACCATAACAGATGGAGAAGGCAAGCGGAGCATCGTTTAGAGTTCTTGGATAAACGTCGAGGGCTGAAAGAATCTGCGGCGCAGCATTGACGAGAACGAGACCGAGGAAATACAAGTGAAGTTGAGCATGCGACGGCCGCGCTCAATACGGAGCGCATCGCGAGGGACAAGAAGAGGAAACATAATATCGCAGATGCCATAGTGCATGCGGCGGCCGCCCAACACTATTCTGGAGCACATCTTTTGCGACGCCAATCAAGCGGCGCTGGGCGAGGGCCTCGCGCAATATACCCCCGCCCACCCCAGAGCGAGTTTGGGGGCCGCGGAATGGGGCGCAGGGCTGGCGAAGGGGGGTCTAGTAGCGAACGCCATTGACTGCGAGACCGCGAGGACAGGGCACTGCCAGAAGGTGGACGGTGACGGCGCGGGCACCGCCAGGCGCCGCGACGCAGATTTCTTGGGCGACGCGCGCGACGACAGGAGCGATGGCGCGTTGCTTGCGAAAGATCATGAGGCGAGCTTACACGGAATGGGAATCACTATCAGAAGTGGCACTTGCGATCGGAAGGCCGACGGACAACATTGCAGACCCAGGCGGAACAAGTCAGCGGGTGACGAGACAATTTGAGAGATGACAAGAGGAGGACGAATAAGACGAAACACCCACAAACGCCGAGAGTGACTTGCGCACCAAGATGGGTTGGAAGCCAGGGCCAGCCACTGATAGGGGCGAGGGCCCAGGGGAGCGATGGGGCCGTGAGTTCGATGTCGCAGTCAGGTGGCCAGATGGGTTCCTGCCAGGCGCCGCGGGACTTCGGCGACTGCCGCCGCCCGCGCGTCAGCAAGCGGAACCACGCGCCGAAGGAACAGGGCGACGCTTGCGGACTGATGGGGGCGAGGAGCCCCGCGACGAAGGAGACCGAGGAGGTGGATCTAAGCCTGGCCGGCGCTCGCGAAGGCGCGCGCGCGGCTGGGCGCCCCCATTCTTTTCGAGACTGCGGCGAAAATCAGCAGAGCGACAGAAAGGCGGGGCAAAGAGCTCGGCGACGGAGGCCGGCAGCTCGACGCGGCGAAGAAAAACGATCATCCGGTCAGCCCGCGAGGAGTTGGCGCTCAGGAGACAACGAGACGAATGCAGGCGAAGGCTGCTGGAGTCGCAAGCGCCGTCTAGCGCCGAATGCGGGTGCCAGGGCCTTGCGCGGCATCGGGCCGGGCGGCGCAGCGAGCGACGTTGCGACGGCGAGGCGAAGCGACTCATCGGACGCGGAGGGGGGGTGTCTTCTGGAAGGCCAAGGGGCAAGGCCAAGGGGCTCAAGGAAACCAAGAACGGTCGTTAACTGCTTAACGACTTGGAGAAAATGAGAGATTGAGAGCGCTCGACATCCACATCGCGCGCTCGAGCTCACGAATGCGCGGGCGCCAGAAGGAGGAGGGGCGGGGCATGGCGGAGGAGGCAGCAGATCGCGCATTAGGGAATCAATTCGACATGGGGACAGGGGGGGGGGGGGGAGGAGGCGGGGCGCGGGAGACGCCTTGCGACTTCTAGAGCACGCGCAACGCATCAGCAACAAGCGCATCGATGCAGGTCAGACTTGGGGCTATTAACTCGGCCAAACCAATGCCCGCGGCGCAGGGCGATATATGCGAGCAGGGGCGCGGCAGCGGATCGCGCGATGGCCGCGACGGAGGGAAAAACGAACGACCTGTTGCGCCAATTTTAGCCGATGGGCGCGCGAGCTCATTATTCCTGATAGTCTAGCTCTGCAGCCGCGAGGCTCGAGACTGGGGGCATGTTCAACGACGCGCCATTGCGCGTCGCAGCGGCCCCGGGGCCACCGGCCTTTCCAAGCGCGGCGGAGCGGAGGGCCCCCGAGCCGGGGGCGCCAGGAGACCTCTCGCAAGGAGTGAGGAGACAAGACCCAGAAGGCCGGCAAGGGCAGAGACCAGCTCCACGACCTAGACGGCCAGATAATGGAGATGATACCGCGCCTGCAACGCCTGGGAGTGGCGCGCGACGCCCGAGGCCGAGAGCGGTTTGCGGCGCCGCTCGGCTTCTGGCCACGCCCAAGCGGAACTCCGCGCGTCGAGAAGGGCGAGGAGACAGTCGCGGATTACGCGAGGACGGTGGAGGCCAAGGGCAAGGGCCACGGAAAGGGCCCACCGCGCGTGCAGGTGGGGGCGACGATGACGGAGCCAGTTCAGGAAGAACTCAGGGGCCTGCGCCACGAGAAGATATTCGCGAAGTGGCTGGGGCCGGCGCGAGGCCCGAAGGGGCAAGAGGCGGTTGGGGGGACGTTCGGAGCGCGCCGTTTGAAAAGGATGCGCGCGCCGAGGAGGACTTGCCGAAGGATCAGAAGCGCGCGAGGGCCACAGTCAACTTCAACGAGTGGGCAGACTTCGCGAAGTTCGGGGCGATGAGCGACGAGGGGCCGATCACCATAGAGGAGTGCGGATGGCGTTTGCGACGGGCCTCGAGCGTCAGGGGACAGCGAAGATCGCCGGCCAGACTCCGGAGCCCGAGCTGGCCCGCGCAGTGGCGCACCAGCCGAGGTCGACCATGCAGTTCGAAGCCAAAGTGAAGCTCCAGCATCGCGAGACTCGGGGCCGAGGGCAAAAGCTCGTAGAAGCGAAGCCGAGAGATTTAGCCACCTAGATCCCCCTCTTCCCCGTTCTCGTGAGAGCCTCCCTTCCTCGTCCTCTACCCACCCCACAAACGTTGCTCTGGTGGCCCAGTGCCGCCACCGACCCGAAGGTCTCAGCGAACTTGGAGAGGATGGCGGCGGGGGGGGAGCAAACGAGCGAATACCATGCTAGAAGCAGTGCGTAGATTGCTGTGCCGACCTCCTCACCGTGCCCTATAGGGTGGTAGGTGTGAGGAGGCGCAGGCAGAAGGTGTCAAGCGGCAGGATCATGTTAGTGCATCCTTGCCGACGGCCTACCAGTGCGAGAGTTTGGCCTCCACAGTGGCGGGCCACGTTGCGGTTAGAAATTCTAGCCCCTCGCCCCCTTCTTCCAATGCCGAGCAAGGGGCATTCCATATATAGGCTGGAGGCGTGATTAAATTCTGCACAGCCGAGAACATTGAGAGACGCTGCCTCCCCCCCAGCGCTCCATCCATCCATGCATCCATCCATCCATCCATCCCTCTCCTCCTCCTCTTCCTCCTCCTCCTCTTCCTCCTCGTCGTCCTTTTCCTCCTCCTCCTGCTCCTCCTCCACCTCCTCCTTCCGCTCCACCTCCTTCTCCTCCTCCTCCTCCTCCGCCGCCTCTTCCTACTCGTCCTCCTCGTCGTTTGCCTCCTCCTCCTCCTCCTCCTCCTCCTCCTCCTCCCATCCTCCTCCCATCCTCCTCCTCGTCCTCCTCCTCCTCCTCCTCCTCCCCGTTTGCCTCCTCCTCCTCGTCCTCTTTCTTTTCCTCCTCTTTCGCCTCCTCCTGCTCCTTCTCCTCCTCCTCTTCCTCCTCCTCCTCCTTCTCCTCATCCTCATCCTCTTCCTCCTCTTTCTCCTGGCCCTCCTCCGCCTCCTCCTCATCCGCCGCCTCTTCCTCCTCGTCCTCCTTCTCCTCCTCCTCCTCCTCCCCCTCCTTCCGTAGCCATTTTGGTTCAAGATGAGTTGTTCCGCAGGGGAACAAGTGGATACCGCTAGTCCGCGGCCAGTGCCAGGGCGCCTCTGCCCGACAGTTCTGTTCCAGCCGACGGGTCCGCCCCCGTTGGCTGCTGCCTGTCGCTGCCCAGCGACTGAGCAGGCTCGGTCGCCCTCGCGTTTCCGCTCATGCCAGATGGGGTCAAGCGCAAGAAGAAGCCTCGTGCCGTACGTGGCTCTGGTGGCGCTGCTGATAGTGATGCGCATCCTGGTGCACGGCCCCCGCCCATTGGTGACGACGACGCTCGTTCTCGCTCCAACAGAGGTGCCTCCAGCGATGGCGAAGAGGATCTCTTGGACTCGGATGGCTGGGAGGAGCACATCAAAGGGCTCATGCAGGGTGAATTGCAGGCCAAGCTCAGCATCTTCCAGTCTGAGGTTACCGAGCTCGTTACCGCGTCCGCCAGCAAGGCTGCCTCCTCCGCCGTTGACCCTGTCATGGCCGCTATCAAAAGGTGTCGAAGCGGCAGTTCAGTAAGTACCGCAAACTTGTAAGTCCCAACTGGAAGCGTAACTTCGTCCAGAGCTCGATGCCGCGCAAAGGCGCCTGCAGCTGCAGATCGACACCATGCAGTCGCAAGTTCGTGACATTGACACCCGCGCTGAGACGCTGGCCACAGACATGGAGGAGCTCAAGTCCCTGGTTGATGAGCTACCCAGAGAGTTGGTGGTTGCAAATCGGTCGCCGCCTCCACCGAAGCCGACACCTGGGTTCACGCGGGCTGTCGATGGTACGATTCTCAAGGTCGTTGCTCCCGCGCTCGTCAAAAAGAGTGACGTTCAGGGATCAGTGGATAAGGGGCTTAGGGACGCACGCGTTGACGGCTACAATTTTCAGGGCGAGGACCAAGACAAGCTCCTCACGATTCAGTTCACAGGTGCAGTGGGTACTGCTGGAAAGAAGGTCACGGCCGCGTTATCAGCTCTTCGTCCTCCTGGGAAAGGACAATGGATGCGCTTCCCCATGCCTGCTGCCAGTGGGGGTAGCACCCAGTTACATATCGGCCCCGACAAGAATCCGCATCAGATCAAGATGGAGATCACTGGGAAGAAAATGGTTGCAGCCCTCCGCGAGGAGTTCAAAGACGCAAAGTTCTTCTTCGATCGACAGAATGGATGGATCTCTGAGAGTTGGAACCCGATTATCAGGATCGAACCGCAGCCGGGTCGAAATCCCACGAAGATCTTTTGGCACGACGCTGCGATCACTGCTCGACAATGGTCTCGAGCGGAGCTACGGCGCCTTCTGGATCCAATCGCTGCGCCGACGGGGGCGCCAGAGTGGGCGCTTTAGCATTTTCGACGATATCTTCCTGCATCATGCTACTGGCAATATCCCACTTAAGTGCTCTGAGCTGTCCTTTGTCACGTGGAATGCTCGAGCACTGCTACGGTGGCGTGGCATGCAAGCAATGGCCAAAGCAGCTTACTTACAGATGGCGGGGGTTTCTTCATCTGTTTTTGCTTTACAAGAGGCGCATCAATCATTAGACGAGCTGCGATTCTTCCTAAAGCGGATAGCTCCAGAGGTGACAGTCTTCGGCTCGTTCGACACCGACGCCTACGGCCATGCGCGTGGTGGTGTCGCGACAGTTGTACCGCTTTCTGCTCAATCGGCGGCTGCTTCCTCCTCTCGCCCACTGGTTTCAGGACGGGTGCTCAAGACGTGGTTGGTTGGAACGCATGCTGAGATTCGACGCTGTAACGTGCGCAACCATGACCTACATCATATCGATGTTCAGCGGATATCTTCTTTGATTGCTTCTGACTTAGAATGGGGCACACGCCGATCCGCAATCAAGACTGGTGGTTGTGGTCGGGGACTTCAACTTTGCTGTTTCGGAGCCTCTACAACTTGCCCAGCCTTGCCTGAAGCGATCGACCCGCACTACCAACAACAACCGTACACACATGAAGAGCTGGAGGGCGGTGCTAGACAAGATGCTTGAGATCTCGGCGGAAGACCCAACGCATTATTGCAAGGACTCTCATTCCGTCGCTCAGCTTGATCGAATTTGGTTATCCGAGCCTAGGTGGGTCGCCTGCCAACTTCATCACTCCGCTGATGTGGTCTCGTCGCCCGAGCGCCTCAGCGAGCGGCACATCTCAGATCACGCAGCTCTTCGGGTACACCTTCAGCATCGCTCGGCTGACGATAGTTATCGGCGTCCTGTTCCGCGTTTCGTGTATCTCTGTGGTGATTTTCGCGCTCGACTCGATAGGCTTCTCCGCCAAGATGGCCGATTCTTCACAGATATGTCTCCACCTCGCCAGATGGAGAGGTACAGGGTGCTCATGGGCGCAGCGGCTTATGATACGCTTCAACAAATACTGGTCACTGACACGGAGAAACTTGAAGCCCAACTGATTTTCGCTTGGCAAGCCGCGCGTGCTACCTGGCGGCAGGATGCACGTCTTGCGCAGAAAGTTGCCAACTCTTCCGAGGTCTTTAACAGCTGCGTCAACATCACTTCCGAGGGCCTGGTACAGTTGGTGCACCCTGCGGCGTTTCAGGCATGGGTGGGATCCATTCAACACCGTGCAGCAGAGCAACAATTTGCAGTTCTCCAACAAGGTGCCCGACATGGGAAAGGCCGCGCTAACGTCTCGCATGGTACTCTGTCGGCAGCGCAAAGGAAAGCCAAGCTGTAGGTCCCCTTCGGCAGGCGGCTCACGTTGCGTGCCATTCAGGTCGGCGGCAAACAGCACTCCGATCCCACCGAGAAGCTGAACGCGTTGGTCAGCGATTGGGCGCCTGTGTCAGCGCGCCCACCGTCCTATCCTGTTCATGCAGAGAGGTGCGCTCAAAAGTTTGTCAAGCCGTGCGTGTTCGATGATGTGCCCCCACCTTCGCTTCAGATGCTTCAGCGCACGTTGCGGCGTATGGCGCCATCGCGCTCTGCACCTGGAGTGGATGGCCTCCCGTATATAGCGTGGGCAGCTCACGAACAAGGTGCTGAAGTATTATGGCAGGCTTGTCGCTGGATGATGGATGGTCGGACGCTCTTCCAGGCTGCGGGGGCGACACTGCAAGCTTTTCTACCCAAAGGTTGTCATGCTGGAGACGATGACGAGCGGGGTGTTGTTCGTTCTCCTGATACTGTGCGCACTCTTGGCCTTCGCAACACGGACGTGAAAGTCATCTCAGCGACGCTCAACGTGGCTTTCTCGCCGATCGTGCAGCAAACGACCTCAAGGACACAGCGGGGCTTCATCGCAGGCAGGCAATTTACATCAAACATTCTCGAGCTCGACATTATGGCGAGGGTTGCTTCCCTTCATCCTAAGGCGCAGGATCAGCAACCGATCTTGGTGGCGCTCGACTTCGGCCAAGCGTTTCCCAGTTTGAGTCAGCAATACCTTTTTACGGTGCTCAAACGGCTTCGCCTTCCTTATGCACTCTTCTCAGCTTGTTGTTCGTTATATGCTTCTGTCACAGCTGTGGGGCGGCTCGGTGGTATGACAACGGATCTCTTCGCCATCGAGTGCGGCATCATCCAAGGGTGTGCGCTGTCTGGCAGCTTGTTCGCAGCGGCTACTTCACCGTTTCTCGAAGATCTTCGTACTGGGCTGGAACTTAAGCGTCGAGGTCTCTTTCGAGCATGCGCTGATGATATTGGTGGTGTGTTATTTGCCTTGGTTGACATGCGATTCCTGGCACGGGTCATGGCGGTGGCGGAACAAATTGCCAATCTCAAGCTGAAGCCGCCGAAGTGCGTCATCGTCCCGCTCGCAGGGAGGTTCAGTGGCGCTCTGAGTGACGAATTGCGTAATGGGCTAGAACAACTGGTAGCTCACTGGCTTGCCTTCCGCATCGAAGCGAAGCTGCTCTACCTTGGCATGTGGCTGGGACCGGCCGTCTCTGAACTATGCTCTTGGCTGTCCCCGTGGGATAAATGTAGAACTCGTATCTCGGCGCTTGCCTCGTCAGCTGCGCCAGCTTCGCTGAATGCAATCAACTACATGGCCAGAGCGCTTCCCACGTTGTCCTACGTGGCGCAATTCGCTCCACTCCCCAGGCAGCTACTACAACAGGATATCCACATCTTGGTCAGGCTTCTGCGGTTGCCTGGTGGTGCGCTACGGTGTGTGGACTTTCACTGTCTTGGACAGTGGGGTGGCCCCAAGCTTCGTGCCCTTGGTCCTGCGTGTGGTTCCACGCTCACTCGATCGGCTTTATCTACCCATCCTGAACACGTTCGTTACCTCCATCGCCTTCAGGTTGCCGCGGAGCGCTGGGCCCCATTCCGCGTCCTCGCTGATCTTCGAGATCGTCTGTCGCCTCACTTCTGGGAACAGCCATCTTATGTCGAACACTTGGCTCGGGCTTCGCAACGCAAGGCTTCATCGGGGGCTGATGCGGCCCGCAAGCTTCTCGCAGAGTGCCCAGATGCTCGTCGCGCAGTGCAAAGCGCCGCCTATTCGGCGTTATTCCAGGACATGATGCGACCGTTTCTGTGCAAGTTGTAGAACACTGACTCACCGCTGGTTGCAACATTCGTCAAACGGTGGTCAAAATGGTTCCCATCTTTCGTGGGTGATCTCACGCAGCTCGACTGGACAGGTTTGCAAGACAAGGTGGTCACCTACCCCACCGCATGGGCTTCAGCGCTGCTGCGTGGTCTGTGCGGTGGGTGGCTCACGTCGTCGAGGATCTCATCGCCATCAGGGCCCCGCTCATGCATCTTTGGATGTGATGGCTGCTCGGACGAGATCCGACATTCTCTCAGATGTCGCGGGCTCGCATGGGGCATTGCCATGGCGAAGACGGGTGGTCGCATCGAACTGCCAGGCAACATTCTAGATCGGTGGGGTCTTCGAGGGGCATGCGATGACGACTTGATGAACTTGCAGCTCGCCACCACCATCTACCACGAAGTAAGGCATCTGGATCATGTCGGGCCTGAGCGGCTTCTCCTCACAGCGCGCGGCGCTATTCGGATTCGGGCCTTGGCGTGTCCAAAGGCTGGGCGGACGCGGGCCCACTGTCGTCCGCGGCCGCATCTGGTCACGACGGGACATCCTGCGCCGCCCACTCCTGCTGTCCAGTGGCCTCCAGTACTCTTGTTCGATCTTCCACGTGGCCATCACTCTCTGCGCGATCTTCTACCTGGACGTGTTCGCTTCCCGCCAGCATGGGGGGAAGCAAAGTTCGCTATTCCACAGCCGAGTGGGATCGGTCCCATCATGAGTGCGCGACTTGCTGACTTGGGCTCATTGGTGCAATCTTGGGCGCGCAATTGGTTGTGCTCGTTCTTCTTCATCGCTAATGGTCTGACGGATTTTGAAGACTGGATGAAGTGGGCCACCGACTTCTTATGCATCGTCTTTCGCTACAAGCACTTCGTTGGCCTCTTCCGCAAGCCGAACACCGCCTTGGAAGAAAGAACTACTCTAGCGTCAAGTGTATGTCATGTGGAGTGGCACAATTCACGGGTGGGCCGCAGCAGGCTCGTCAAACACTACGCGGGATTGCAGCAACCACGTCCGAGCAGCTGGTTCAAGGTGGCGCATGAGCGCGCTCAACTTCTCATTGACCTTCGTTGGTGGACCCACGGCCACGCATCGTTCGCTGCGATCACACCTGACACCGTTGAAGAACTTCAACTCCTTCGACCTGAACCCCGTCCCCTCCTTCCTGAACTACGAGACTATCGCTCTCGTGGCGCTGGTGAATTGTGCTCTCGCGCTGATGAGCTGGCTAGGGAAATCTGGGATGCGGAAAGCGGCGGTGGCTACTACTCAGGTCAGGATGGTGCTTGGCCACACGTCGGGGCTACAAGTGGTGACCCTCTACCTCCGCGCTTCTCGGGGCACCCTCAATTCAGGGCACGTCTGATTCGCATTGGGCTGTGGTCACAGGGATGGGTTCCGAGTTTGCTGGTCAACACGAGCGTCAGCGATTTCCAGCATTGGATGGAGTGGTGCGTTCCCTTCACGGCAGACACGTTACGCTATCGCGGCTTCAAAGGTATCTTGCAGTGTCCTGCCAACATGATAACGGACGGGGCGAGACGCTGGGAGCTCGCCATTGAGCTCGGCTTGCATGGGTGGTATCAAGGCGCCCGACCGAGGGAGCAGTTTCGCCAGCTGCCCAGCACCACGTGGACGCCCTATGTATGTCGCCATCTGGCAGCGCTAAGGCGTCTGGGGATGGCTCACTTGCGGCAGTTGGATTGGTGCCCTGACGTCGCGAGGATGCCAACAGAGGAGCGCGAGGATTTTCAGCTG